TGTGGCTCCAGTGGTAGAGTGCTAGCCTTGAGCTGAAGAGCTGAGAGACAGTGCCCAGACCCAGAGTTCAGGCCCCATGACTGGCAAAAAAAAAAAAAAAAGAAACTCTATCCTTAATTATTCCCCCATGGCTAGAAGTTGCTGAGAACGGGGAGATGTGAAGCAGCCCTGAGGGCACGTAGCCTCAGGATCCCCAGAAGAACAAGGTGAAGAACTGTTCCCAATGTGTGGAAGACAGCACCTCAGGGCACAGAGGCTTTGTCACCTACAAGGTGAGGACAACAATGGAGAAGAAGGGAAGTAATGGGATTGGAAGCTAAAACTCTCAACTTGTCTCATTATAAAGATCACGGCTTCTGCTTGGACAAGTAGTCATATCCAAACGCAATGAAGTTTGTTTTTTTTTTTTTTTTTGGTCTGTCACAGGGCTTGAATTCAAGGCCTGGGCACTGTCCCTGAGTTCTTCTTGCTCAAGGCTACCACTCTACCACTTTGAGCCACAGCTCCACTTCCAGTTTTCTGGTGATTAATTGGAGGTAAGAGTCTCGTGGACTTTCCTGCCCCAGCTGGCTTTGAACTTTGGTTCTCAGGTTGCAGCCTACTGAGTAGCTTAGATTACAGGTGTGAGCCACCAACACCCAGCTTCAGTGAAAAATTTAAGAGATAAGAAACACATTATAACATTGTAAACTCATCAAAAAGAGCAAAATCTACTACCTGTCTGTCTTCCCCTAAAGCTTGAAAGGTTGCTTGTGATATGTCAAAGAGCACATCAAAATGGATTTCTATTTTCATCACTTCTTTCTGGTTGATAGTAAGTGGCTTCTTCAGGTTCACAAGGAACACCTTCATCGTCTCAGTTTCTAACAACAAAAACACAGTACACCATGTGTATTAGTGCAGTAGAGAGTTTAAAGTGCTATGATGCTGAACAACTGCATAGTATGTTTCTCAACTCTCCAGACCTCTCTGAAATAAGATGATGAAATATTAACTAAAACTATCTTACCATTTGTATTTATATATACACACAATTTATCAATAAGAGGTTGATCATACAAAAATACTGAGTCTACTATAATTTTCTGCCTGGCTGACTATGAACCAAAACCTTCCAGCTTCCCAATTTCAGATTCCTGAATAACTAGAATTGCAGGTGTAAGTCACTGGTGCCTACCTACAACTTAAGGTTTTCACTGAGCCATTTTGTTTAATATAGCAGGTATTTGACTTTCAAATACCCTAAGCCCTCAGGGTGCTAGTGACTCATGCCTGTGATCCTAGCTACTCAAGAGGCTGAGATCTGAAGATAATTCAAAATCAGTTCAACAGGAAAAATCCAGTGAACTCTTAGCACCAATTAAACATCAAAAATCCAGATGTGGAGGTTTGGCTCAAGTGGTAGAGAACATTAGATAGATAGATAGATAGATTATAGATAGATAGATAGATAGATAGACAGACAGACAGACAGACAGACAGACAGACAGATAGATAGATAGATAGATATTAGATAGATAGACATTAGATAGATAGATAGATAGAATATAGATAGATAGATAGATAGATAGACAGACAGACAGACAGACAGACAGACAGACAGACAGACAGACAGACAGACAGACAGACAGATAGATAGATAGATAGATAGATAGATAGATATTAGCCTATTGGATATAGATATAGATGTCATATATATGCTATTTATATATTCCAATATTTCTATTTGAAATCCCACATTTCTAAATCCAAAGCAAAGCTCACTGCTCCTAGTATGCAAATTGAATAACTCACTCTGTTTCAAATTGTATACTCATTGGTCACCACTGTGATTGGGGGAGAGGAAGGACAGATATGAGAACTATTTGTTTTTATTGTATCCAAAAACTTGAATAAAACACAACAGTTTACCATAGTAACCACTTTCATTGATCTTGAAATCAATTTCTAACCTTGTCAGAATTCTCTTCCTCTTTTGTCAGTGGTGGGGTTTGAACTCAGGTCCTGGCCACTGTCCTTGAGCTCTTTTGCTCAAGGTGAGAGCTCTACCACTTTGAGCCAGAGCACCACTTGCAGTTTTTGAGTGCTTAATTGGAAATAAGAGTCTCACGGGTACTTTTCTGCCTGGGCCATCTTTGAAGCACAAATCCTCAGATCCCAGACTCCTGAGAAGCATGAGCGCCAGGCAGAATTCTCTTCCTCTTAAAAGCTGAATAAATTGGGTGCTGGTGGCTCACTCCTATAGCTCCCTAGCTATTCAGGAGGCTGAGATCTGATGCTCATGGTTCAAAGTCAGCCTGGGCAGGAAAGTCCGTGAGACTCATCTCCAATTAACCACCAGAAAACTGTAAGTGAGCAGTGGCTCAAAGTGGTAGGTACTAGCACTAAGCAAAAGAGCTCAGGTACAGCATCCAGGAACTGAATTCAGGCCCCACAACCTATAACAAATAAAAAGCTAAATAATACTCCATTATATGAATAAGCCGTGCGTTTTTATGCATTTGTTCCTCAGTGGAAGTTCGAATTTATATCTACCTTTTGTCTACTACAAATAGTGCTATTACGGGTAGCAATAGTGTGCCATACACAGTTGTAACTTTGACACTCTCCTTTCGATCACTTTGCATACATACTAAGAAATGGCATTGCTGAATCACATGGTAGTTCTACTTTTAATTTTTTGAGGTTTACAACTGAACTTGAAACTCACAAAACAAAGGAACCATCAATGGTGAGAAGGCAAAACTACTGCAATCATTATGGAAGTCAGTATAAATATGTACACATTATACACACACACACACACACACACACACACACACACACACACACACACACACACACACACCATGGACTAATAGTTAGAAAAAGTAATATTATGTTATTTGCATCATCATGTTCATTAAGATAGCCAAACTCAAAAAGCCAAATATTGCATGTCCTCACTCATTTGTGGAGTATATTCCTAAAATGATGATGATAATGATAGTAGTAATGGTAGTGAGACATGAATATAAAAGGGAGACTATCTTGGAGGGGGTCAGTGGGAGGGAGGAAAATGAGGAATTACTGGGAGATAAAGATCAGGGGATATTCCACACACGTACATATGAATCGAGCATAATGAAATGTAAAATGCCATTTGAAAGAGGGTTACATGGGGAAGATGAGTAGGATATAGTAAAGGGAATAAATGTGTTTAAATACACTGTGTGTTATATACAGAAATATCATAATGAGACTCCCTCACATTACAAATGTACATTAACTCAACACACACACACACACACACACACACACACACACACACACACAGGTCCTCCATACTAGGACCCCAGGCCTTGGCTCTAACCACAGTGTACCTTCCATTACAGCACATCATATGGCCTTCTTCTATGTCAGCAAAATCAAAATCTGCCCTTGGACCAACTAAACACCCAGCACAAATACAACCAGACACAACACTTGGAGCTACATGTGGGGCAGTCTACAGTTACCACCTTACCTGTGATGTTGAAATTAACCATGTCTTCCTTCTGAAGTCTAATTGTGTCCCACAGAGGACTCTAAGAAACAGGAGAAAGTCAGGAGTACATATATCATGTTTACATGTGAACAACTCCCAAGTCACTCAGAAATCAAACCTCATTACCTCAGCATTGTGTATATAAAAAGTTACACTCTCACTTCCTAGGTTGAAATCGATCCAAAATTTTTCTAAGTTTTCATCTGCTGGCTTTCTCATCTATAAGGGAATTTCAACAAAAAGAAGATACAGGAAAAAATCACATCAGAAAAAAATCACATCAGAGAGTCAAATAAAATTATCAATAAAAATGGAATTTATACTTTCCTAGAATAACATATCCTAAAAATACAGAGCTTCTTTTTACTACCTGACTCAGTTATGCAAAATACAGGGGGTAAGAATCTCAATTTTAAATGACCATTTCCAAGATCCCACTGTTCTTAGTATACATGTGTGTACACACACACACACACACACACACACAGAGTTGTGAGTGTCAAGTTTAGTTCCAGAGGCTGTGAAGAGGGCTCTGAACCCAAAAAGAATCTCAGCTAAGCCAGGGCTTTAAATCTCTGAAGATTCTATCCTGAATTGGAGCTGTTGTAGGTTTTGCCCATGAATGGCAATATTCCTCTCTCAATAGAGAGATGTGTGTGTGTGTGT